GGGGGGGGGCTTTTTCATAGCTGCAGTACAATGTACTGTTTGGATCCTATGCAAATGTTAATAAACCTTATGTGTTCTAAAATATGTTGTTTTTATGCAGAGAGAACAACAGAATTTTTGTTTTAAAAAGCTAACTGGGCTGACATTTGAATATTTCCTGCTTAATCTCACAGAAAAACATTACATTACTGAAATCCCTCACATCATCACAAATAGTCACATTTATTTAAAGTCATTGTCAATGACATCAAAGTAAAAACAATATTTTTTTTTTTTTATCACAAACTTGTTTACAGTAATACAATAATTTTTACTATTATGATTTTGTTACTGTGTATAATAATACATAGTGTCATAGTGTCTGCTCCTGTTATGGTCAATTATATTATATTTGCACAAATTTATTTAAAAAAAAACACATTTAAAGATTAACACCCACAACAAAGGCACAATACTGTAACATACCTGCAGTTGTTAAAAACATTTAATTACATCTGAAATCAACATTTTTGTTGTTTTTGTCTGTTTTTAGTTTTAAATCTAAGAGAAACTGATACTAGAGATGATGAAGATACTCTAAACCTACTTGTTACCCTTGTGGCTCCTTTAACATGAAACAGCTTTTTTATTTTTTATTTTAAACTTTATTGGCAGCTTCACATTTCAGCTGTTTATTGTTTCCACTTCATAACACCCTGCTTCTGTCTCTCTTTGTTTCTTTGAGAAAACTCCAAGCAAACCAAAATGTGTTCCTACAAAGCATGTGACATTCACATGTCTGGGACAGGACCAACAAATGAAACATGGGAAAATAGTGGCATCTCCTGGAATAGTGGATAACATAGAGAATATACTTGTAACAACAACTAGTTACTACAGTTTGTGTACTCAGCACATCTATGGTACTCAATGGCCCAATGGGATGCAGCAGAATCCATTAGTGGAAGCTCAAACCTGCATTGTACACTTGGTAGTGTGGAACTAAGTATTGTCTTTTTGTGTATACAAGCATATATTTGTGGTCTTTGGCCATAAATATATTGTAAGTATCAAACTCAAAATCAGACAACATGTAAAACTGGGATAGTGGCAAAAAAAAAGACTGGAAACACTACATAAAGCTAACAAAAAGAGAACAAGGAAACCACTAAATATGACCATTTTTTCAAATATGTCCTTTTTTCCCCTTAATTGAGTACAAAAACAGGATAAGAATGAAATAAAGAGATGGATGAGTTTTTCTGGATGTTGTCATTTACAGTTTGTAACATTGTTAAAAGAGTCAGAGAAATCCCTGTAAAAACCAAATCTAAACGATTCTCATTAAATAGAGATTATGATTATGCACAGCACTGGCTCAAGCATACTTATTTCAAAACTCTAACTTAAAATGTCTTTTTACACTCATAAAACAATGAATGAACCCAAAACTGCTGATTAACAAACATAAAAGGAAATCAGCATTTGGTTCAATTTATTTTCACAATAATAAAAACGCAAAGTGGTAACAAATAGAAAAAAAAAACAGCATAAGAATAAAACACACTGCCTTTCAAGTCTTGGAAATCCTCCAACATCCTCTAAGAGGGAATAATTTCAACCTGCCGGCTGGTATTTTCAAGGTATGAAGTTTCTCTAACATGAACTCCTGTTTGTTTTTGGTCTAATTAATATCAAAGCAGTAACTGAAAGCTGCCGGCTGCATTCATATCAGCAGTGCTGAAATTGTGCTGTCTTTCTCCACAGGGAACGTTTCCACTTTGCTGGTTTGGCTGCTCACCAGTGTCCTGAAAAATCACACAGCAGGAGATGCTGTGAACGAGCCAGGCAACTCACATGTGATGTCATATATTTTATTTCTTTATATTTCTTTGTATTTTACAAATGTAGCTGTTTTTCTGAAAAACAAATGTACATCTCTGGGTTTTACAGCCATTATTACTGGTTTTTGTAAACTACTTAAAAAAAAATAAGAACGTTAAAGAAAGTTATTGCCACCAAAACGACCAAAACTCACTCTGTCCTCCAGAGCGCATCCATGGCAGGTTGGTGGGGCTGTAGCTGCCTGTTGCAGTC